AGGAATTGTTTTGGAGTCCTGAACCTCATTGATAGGGAACCAGAGCAACTGTGGCATGAAATTAAAGTTGTTAAGAATGAATTTGAAGAGAGACTGTCAAAGACCAAAAAACAGAAGAAAACATGCTGGATGTCAAAACAAACAGTGGCAATTGTCAAGAAGAAAGACAAAGAACTCAACAAGATTCTTAACAAAGACTAAGAGAACTGTTAGAAGAGACAAAAAGCAGTATTATAACAACACCTCTAACAGTATTAAAGTTGGAAACAGACAAAGTAAATCCTCCAAAAGATCTCCCAACTCAGAAGATGATTCCAACCTCAAATTGGTATGCTGAAGCATGCTGATGGACAGATAGTAAGTGATTCAAAAAAGATCAAATACAGATGGAATATATTGAAATTCTGTCCAGTAGAGATATCAACATCTAAGATATTCCCTATTTACAAGAGCTTCTAGTACTAGAAGATGAAGGTTTCTGATCAGAAGGCTACTGGAATTGACTGAATATCTTGTATGGCAAGCAACAGAAGAATCAGTAAAGGTTCTAACCAAATTATGCCAACAAATATGGAGAATAACATAGTGGCCAACAGATTGGAAGATATCAGTTTACATCAGTGTTTTTCAAACATGGCAACTTTAAGATGTGTGGGCTTCAACTCCCAGAATTCCCCAGTCAGCACTGGGGAAACACTGGTCTACATACTAATACCAAAAAAAGGGAAACTTAACAGAGTATGCAAACTAATGTACAATATCCTTAATTTCACATGCTAGCAAAATAATGCTTAAGATAATCCAACATAGATTTGGACTCTACTGGAAAAGGGGAGATGCTAGATATTCAAACTGGTTTTGGAAAAGGCTTCCAAACAAGAGTCATTACTGCTGATGCATGCTGATAATTCAGAAAAAAGAAGTCAATATGTACTTTATTGTCTACAGAAAGGACTTTGGTTGTGTCAACCATGTCAAGCTGTGGAATGTCTTTAGGTAAATGGGAATCCCATAACATCTCATTGTCCTCAGGTGATACCTATACAAAGGTCAGGAAGCTACAGTCTGGATGGAACATAATGAAACTTACTGGCTCCAGGTCAGCAAGGGAGTGAAACAAGGGTGAATAGTCTCTCCTTTTTATTCAACCTATATGCTGAATTTACATTGAGGGAGGATGGATTGGAATATGAGCATGTTTTTAAAACTGGAGGAAGAAACATCAATAACCTGAACTATGCTGATGACACTACTCTGATAGCTGAAGATGCAAAGGATCTGCAAGCTCTAGTAATGAAAGTCAAGGAACACAGTGAAATAATGGGATTATTCCTATTACAATTAAGAAGTCCAAACTAATGACAAGAGATACAGCAACCAATATTTGGACTGACAATGAAGACACTGAAGTGGTGGATAGCTGTTGATAGACTATTAGCAGTAAGGAAAGTTTGTAAAGCAGTAAGGAAACTTGATAGGGTAGCAATGGTGGTCTTGGAAAAGATATTCAGAAGTTGTGCTTTGTTTATACCAACAAAGATTAGAATCGTGCAGGCAATGGTTTTGCCCTGTGACACTCTATGGAAGCAAAAGTTGGATTTTGAAGAACCAGGATAGAAGAGTATTGATGCTTTTGAACTTTGATATTGGAAAAGACTCCTGAGATTACCAGGGTAGCCAAGAAAACAAACAAATGGACCATCAAAATATCAGTCCAGAGTTCTCACTTGAAGCACAAATCACTAGGCTCAAATTATCATATTTTGGACACATTATAGGAAGACCTAGCTCCCTTGAGAACAGGATGACTAGCAGCAAGGTAGATGGACTCAGTTGTAGCAACAATAGATGCCCTGTTGGGAAACCTGAAGAGCCAGCTTGGGGACAAATAATCCTGGAGAAGATGTATATACAATATTTGTATTTAGACATTTTAATTTGTTTAAATGTATTTCCGAATACTATTTGTAATGACTGAAGTCATTACATTTTGATACATTTCAGTAATATAAATTATTCACACATAGCTAAAAGTATGCAACTTATCAAACATGAAAAAATATACTGTAAACGTGATTGGGTTTTAAAAAATAAAGTGCACACTCTGAGCAGTTGTATACTGAAATTTGTCATGGTCTCAGAGAAATACAAATAATTAGTTTTTGTTCCGTTTATGAAGATTTGAGTGTGCATTAATTTTGTGTGCATTAATACCTCTAGTTAAGTTTGATTCAGGAGTCTGGTTGGTTTGGCTGATGAGAAAGTGTGAATGTTTTGGCCCAATTTCGAAAATATAATATCATTTGCCACCAAGCAGAACAACTGAAGATGACGCAGCCATTATTGCTTTCCACTGGTATTCAGTGCCATAATACCATTCACTGTTTTCTTCCCCTCAACCAAGGCTATCAGAGCAGGACCAAAAGAAGGAAAACACCTTCCCCTTTCTGTTACTTGAAAAACCTTTAAATCAGTGTCTGGTAATTCAATTTGTAGAGGCCTAGATATGTTCTAAGGTATGTTACCAAACTATAACTTCCAAGACACAACCTTCACTAAAAATGTATGTTAAAAATAGGATTTTGCAGCAAAGAAATGAACTGAGTTCTAGGCTCAGAAAAAAGAATTAGGATTTAAAGATAAAGTGTAAAAGAAACAATGGGTTTGCTCATCCAAAATGGAGACTGAGCCTCAGAGAAAAATAGCTTTAAAAGAGATTAGGCAAGGCTTTGAGCACAATGAAAATAAAATGAACATTCAAATACACTATATCTGATTTCTCATTGCATTTATAAATTTGGATGTATTGAAATCTTTCCTTAGTCCTGCAAGATAACCCCTCACAACCTGGTGTGTACATAAAGTCTTTGAGTTGCAGCCAGCTGCTGCTTTCCAGGGAAAATTCAAAGGTCAAAAAAAAAAAAAAAATACCAGCAAATCCCTCACTATTTAAACTCAAGGCCAAGGTGAGAGAGAGAAAGGACCAATCCATAGGCCAACTGCAGATCTGCTGCTGATCCACCAGGCACTTTTGGAGCTTGCACTAATAGAGGGGCCCATTACACTGACTTCTGTCTGCCATGACTAATAGTCATGAAGGGCTTCAGTTTTATCTGATCAAGTCCTTCTAGTCTGACTTGACCAGAGAGCTTGGTCTGATTGGCTGGCAAGTAGCCTCTCTGCCAAATCCCCAAATATAGACCTTTCCCTGAAATGGATACCAAAATAAGGTTTCTGTAGAATGTTTCAGTTTTATCTGATCAAGACTTTTTAGCCTTGTGTGATTGATGAGTTTGGTTGATTTGACTAGTCAGATTTAACTGGTGCTGAGTGTTTTTGATGGAAATAAACATTGTTTTAGAAGTGAGGGAAGAGGGCTAAGCAAGCAGCTTCCAATAGAGTAACTGAATTAAAAATAAATTAGGGTGGATTGGATTAGATATAAATGATTTGTGATGAAACAGAACTACAGGAATACTGGAAAGAGTCTTTTAGAGATTTGTGTGGGAATGATAGTAACATGTCAAGTCTAATGTTAATGTCCAGGAGCCAGGTTCTGATTATAGCAATACTGTACTGTACATAAATAAAATAATAAAAGTAAAAATGCTGTGAGAATACTGAATGTTGAAGAATGGTAAGGCTACAAGTACATACTATGCAACTGGGAAATGTTATAATATTTTGATATTGTGACATTTGGAAGAAAGCCTATAGAAGGGGGAAGGTAACAAGAGTGAATGTAAAAATTACAGATGGATTAGTTTAAATTGATTTGAGAAGGTGTTTACAGAACTGTTATTGAATGAGTGGCAGATGATAATATTTGTGGAAGTTTTTCTTCTATTTGCATTAAGCTTTCTAATCCTACGTGACTATGAGTTTAGGTGTTTGGTTGACTGGGGATATGGAAATGGTGGGCAGTTCTGCCTTGTTCAATATGGTTTGGGGATATACTATTTAGAGCAGTGTTTCTCAACCTGAGCAACTTTAAAATGGGTGGACTTCAACTCCCAGAATTCCCCAGCCAGTTGAAGTCCACCCATCTTAAAGTTGCCAAGGTTGAGAAGCACTGATTTAGAGGGTTGCAGTTCTCTGTCTCAACCGCTTCAGCCATTCTGGCATCAGTTTATATTTTAAAACTGCATGCTCCAACCTGGCGCATTCCAGCTTTGACACTGTCCTCTGATGATGATTAAAAGGCAGAGCACAAGCATATTACCTTTCCTCTGTTAGCTGCTTCTCACATTATATGGAAGAGAGGTGAAGGGCAGATTTATATTTTGTTATGGTAACTTGATGGCAACAGCAACGGGGCAACTTACAGGCCATATATTAAACCTATGAATTATGAATAGCAAGTTGCTTTGGTATGCAGCTGAATTAGCCTTTCCTGGGATGACCCGGCCCCAAGACAAGAAAGCACATTCAGGCTCTTTTGTGCTACTTTTGGGAAGAGGAAACTCTTCTTTTTCCATAAGCCTTTCGTTTTTGCTGCATCTTTTATGCTCTGTCTTATGCAGGTTGTGCATCTTTCCTTTCCTGCTTTTGAATTTGGCTTGCTGGACGTTGTTTCATTGTTGCATGTTTTGAAAATGCTGTGAATTAATATAAGCAATAATTTCACTATCAGTGATCATAATACCCCTGGAATCACTGACACTTGGCCATGTTTGCTCGCTTCCGATCGTCATAACGCAGTAAATAAACCAAGTAGGTGTAAGCAATGAAGGCGACACGTATTTCGAGGGTTGTTGCTACTTGGTACTGATTCACAAGAGTCCACTCTTCTCGCCTCAGCCTGGGGAGGGGGGGTCGCCTCCTGCTGAGCGCCGATAAAGGCTGACGGCTCTCTTCCGCAGTACGCGGCAGCGTGCATTGGCTCTCTCTAGGACCCGGGGGGATCTCTGTGTTGGTGTCCCCCCCCGTTCTCTGTGCAGGGTTGTAAATTCCTTCTGTCAAGGCAGCCCAGCCGCGATTGCAGTAGCAGCAGAAGCTCGGAAGACCCGCCGCTGTTCGCTCGCCTAGCGCTGCAGCGCCCGGCACCGACTCCTAGTCCCCGTCCGCACCATGGTGGGCGGGCGGCGGCGGCGGCGGCAGCAACCGCAGATGGTACGGCTCCTTCTCTCTGCCGCTTTTTCCCACCTCCCGTGTATTTTTCCCGCCACCACGAGGCGAGACCTCGCCGGCTACAGCCCACCCCTCCGTGGAATCACCGTCTGTGGCTGCCGATCCTCTTCCCTTCGCGCCCCAAATTCGCTGCTTTGATTTGTATGCGGGGCGTCATAGTTAAGAGGCCGACGGCAGCCGCGGCAGGCGAGGGACGCGGGGCGGGAGGGAGGAGGATTTGGAAAAACAGCCGCTTTCCGGAGGTCTTGCCGCCGTCCCAAGTTCGACGGTGACGCCTGAGGTCACCTTCCTCCTGCTGTGCTGCTGCAGCGTCCGGAGGTGAGTCCCAGCACAGAATTGTGGCAGAGGGAGGGCGAGATAAAGGCGACGAGGCAGAGCCCGCGAAATGCCTCCAAACGCGGGGAAGGAGGTATTTTATCCCGCGATGGAGCGATTTATAAGTGGCGCAGGACTATAAGCAAGGACGGAGGCGTGGTCGAGAGGCCGTTCCCGGGGTGGACCTTAGCCTGGGACTTGAATGTCGTCGAAAATGCCATGGGAAAAGGCGTGGATTCGCCTTCCCTTCGACGGTGTTAGGGAGCGGTCCCCCTTCGATCTGCAGCCAATCGCCAGGTTCTCGGGCAGAGAGGCTGTCCCAGTTGTGCTTCGCCCCCGATCATTCGGGATCGTCATACCTGGGACTCTGCATGCGAGGCACGTGCGCCTCCCCGGAGCTCCGGACCCTCAGTCCCAGCTTGCTGCTTCTCGCGTAAGAGCGAGTATGTGCCTCTGGACCGAGCGCTCGTCCAGTCAGATAAAGTTGCTCGCGCTTGTAGTCTTTTGCACGCGCAGACTTTGCTGGCGAGATGCCCCAGTTCTGCATTGCATGGCATTTGGCATGCGGAGGACATGCTTAGAGAAATAATACAGGAATGCACCGGAGACGCACGTTTGGGTTCTTTCCTTCCTCTTGGTCCTCAATATGCCATACCAGTTTATTCAAATAACTCATACAGTATACGTTTCGGGAAGCTGTGCATAGATGATGCAGTATAAGAAAGAAATGTGGAATGGTTCGAGGGCTGGCTGAAGAAAACACACTTACCTTTTATGTGGCTGGGGGACACATTTCAGAAAAAAAGGCAAAACGGATTTAATTGAATTTAAATGTAATTAAAAGTTAATTAAATACAGTTAACATGATTTATCTCATAGATTTAAAAGATTTCTCTGAAATTGAAATTTACCTCAGTAGCAACTTTTGGATAGGCTCTGAGCGCTGTCACCTTGGAGCTTCATTGCATTCCTGGGGCACAGAGGGTATTTTCTGTGGTATCTGCCAAGAGTGTTGTAACTTGTAAGTATATGTTTTAGAATAAACAAATGCTCAAAAATAGATGTTTAAATGTAGATTTATATGAGGGACCTTTCTATTTCTCATTTCCAGATTTCTGTAAAAATGCCTAAGTTACTAGAATTGCAACTTTAACATAAAGTTGGAGGGTTTTAATTCATATTTTACGGGGTTTACTGCATGTCTAGATTTATTTATTTATTTATTTTGAGGTGGGGAAATCAGAGTTTGAGATAATTCTGATGTAGGCAGTTAGGGAATTAATGTGGATAATTGGGTTTCAATGTGTAAATATTTAGGAAAATCATTATACAGTAGAACATTGTACCATTTCTGACTCAGTAAGATCTAAAAGGGTGGGTTGGACCAAAGTCGGTGATGTGTCTTAGCTTTCTGTTCTTTGACTTCTTGTTTTAAAGCATTTCTTCTAGCATCCAATGGAAGCCAGGTCGTTTAAGATGTAGCCTTCTAAAATGTTTTGCTATCTGTTCTTCCTTGATCTCACTACCTTAGGCAATTCTAAGGTATTCAAAGTGAATTTTGAAACTATTTATATATTGGAAATAGCTTCCCCAGTATCTAAATACAATCTTCAACTTGTTTCAGATTTTCCTTCTCGTTAGGTATAGGGAGTGACTTCAAATTACAGTAGCTTTTCTGTCTTTCATTATCTACTTTGGTAGTAAGTACAGAAGAGACAGTGAAGTTCTTCTTTATAACGTATATAACGTAATCAGTTTGTGGAAGGTATTGCTGCAAGATTGTGATGGAAACTGGGGATTGAGAAAAAATCATGGAGAATAAACCTATCAGTAGCCAATATCTGGGAATAGGACTTCTAAAGCAGAATGCCTATGAATCCTAGGTTGTGGGGATATGAACAATGGTTGAAGACTTTTGTCCTGAGAGATGTCTTTATTTAATCTAAGGAACCTGGAGCATGCCAACCCTGCAGGATTGAATCAGCCAGGCAGATGTTATGGGAGACAGGATGTCCCTCAAGTAACCAGGCCCTGTGCCATGTATAAATGAAGGAATAGTTAAGATTCTGTTGCAAATACAGTAGGAATGTAAATATCTTTATTTGAAACCATACTTCCATATTCTGCAGAAATATAGCCCTGGTATATGAAAAAGGCATATTCAAAAAGAAAAAAAGTAAGATGTAGTGATTTTCAGCAGCTGCAGAGTGGTTCAATGGTCAGGTACACATTCTTCTGTGCAGGACTAACAGTTGAGTATGTTAAAGTTTATTTCATGCATAAATAGAGCAGATATTGGTAATTTGTAGTTGACCAATTATGTAATATGGAACCTTCATTTGAATTAAATTAATGTAAATATATCTAAAGTTGAAGTACTAGTTCACCAAAGAATGGATGATTGACGAAAATGTATGAAATGTTATTAATGCTGGGTGACGCTTGGATGATGCTTTTCAGAAATGCCTTGCAACATCTACTTGGCCAGGCATTATTAGAATAAATGAGACATTTTAATCAAGTCTTAAAAACACTTTATTATCAATTCTGTTGTTCATTATTTGTTTCGGCAATGGAATATATAATTCATTACATTTGTCCCTGGAAAATTCTGTTACTGTGTTTTGCTCAATATTACAGAGAGGTAAAATTGAAATGGAATAATTGTGTATATATTATATGTGTTAAAACTTAAAAGCTCTTCTGCCTGATCTCTTGGAAGTTATATCTGGGAACTTCCAGAGACAGCCTATTTATTTATTTATTCATTTATTTAATACATTCATTCAGAGCCCATCTTTTTGCTGTGACCCCATCCACTTCCTACTTTTAGCTCCATCCACTTTTTAAAGTTACACTTCCTTTCTGAAAGCCACATAAGTCTGATTATATCCTGCATGTCATAAAAGGCTTGTCATTCCTGGGGTAGGAAAGTAATTTTGTGTGAAGCAGAACCAAGCTGACTGGGAATATTGAACAAAAAGAGAATATTTCTGAGTTAGCAGAGAACCATAGAGTTGGGAGGGGCTGTAGTTCAAACCCTTCTTCCCTCCTTCCCTCCCATGTAGTACTGGAATCCACACAAAAGCATCAGCGACTCTGGTTCCCATTTGAACACATTCACATCTCTCTCTTTTTTAAATATAATTTTATTAAACATTTTTTTAAAAAAAGAAAAACTAATACAAACTAATATAAAGTAAGAAAAAGAAAAGAAAAATAAAGAAATCAAAGAGAAGGCTAAAAGTGCAAGAAAGGAAAAAAAATAGAAAAATAGAAAAGAAAAAAGATACAAAGAAGTAGATTCCAATCTTCTTTACAGCAGCTATAAGTACAAGTTTATCTCTTATTCTATGGTTACAATGTAACTCTCTTCTTTCTGTAATCTATCCTGTCTAATCATCATAACCATAAATCAGAAGTTCATTTTTTTTCTGTTTCACACAAAAACTCTATAAGGGGTTTCCAGTCAGCAATAAATGTAGATGTTGTCTTTTCTCTGAGGAAAGAAGTCAATTTAGCCATCTCAGCAAGTTCCATCATCTTCAGCAACCATTCCTCCATTGTACATATTGCCAGATCTTTCCATCTTTGTGCATACAATAATCTCGCTGCAGTTATCGTGTACAAAAACAAAGTTTCATGATTTTTTCCCCCAACTGTTTGTCCATCAGTCCCAGAAGAAAAACCTCTGGTTTCAATTGTATATTAATCTTTTAAATCCCCTGAATCAGTGTGTGTATTTGAATCCAAAATTTTATAGCTTTTTTACATGTCCACCAAACATGATAAAATGACCCTTCTTGTTCTTCTCATTTCCAACATAAATTTGAAGTGCCTTTATACATTCTAGACAATTTCTCTGGTGACATATACCAAGCACATCACCTCTCTGATTTATTGACTCCATTGTTGATTACTGTTAGAATTTTTTTCTTAACCGTTAGCTGCAGTCTGCTTTTGTACTGAATGGGCACTCCAGAATCTGCCAGACGTTGGCCAGCTAGACAGTCTGCCTCCCAATGCACTCATCCCAGATGGCCAATCTATTAGACATGGAATCTCTTTGCTTCCTGAGGAGAATGTGCCTGACGGCACATAAACCCAAACGGGGGTGGCACATAAATCAAAACAATCTCTCCTTTTTGTCAAAAGAGAACAAAAGTTCAATCATTTCAGAATCCTAGCCATAAGAAAAGAGTGGGAAAGAAGAGAAATTCCTCCAGTCCCATCTTTTATTTAAAAGGCCTTGTCTTGAGTCATGTAAGAGAGATGGAGTGGGGGGAATCACTGGAAGATGTACCTGGAGATGGAGGCTGGAGGTGAAGGAAGGAACGGGACCTCAGGAACATCCTGGAAGTCAGCCGAAAAAGGCCCTGTTCTGAAAAGCAGAGGGCAGTTCTCCAGGTCTATGGAAAAGTAAAAGTATTTGGCTCAATTATAAACAGAGCTAAGCTGGTTTCTCTGAGAAATGGAGGAAAGGGAAGGAGCTCCAGATTGGGATCCAGAGAGCTCCTAAACCCTTAAATATATGTGGGTAGCAAGGTTATCCATGTAAACTTGAATCACAGACTAACAGGGATCAGTAAGCTAAAATGCAGCATGACTATTGTATGCTTTATTTTCTGGGGGATGTATCTGCTTGGCTGTTTCTAGTAGGGTTTGTATCCAAGTGTATTGCATGCAAACACCCTGTAGTTTTTCTCAGTCTTAGGCCCACCCATTGTGGATCTGTACTAGTCTCCACTATAGCATTTTATGAAGCTTAAGATACTTAAGTATCATTTAAAAATGAATTAAAAAATCAGTAAAGTAAAAAATTGCTAAAACAGCATTTTATTGATGTTTAAGATACCATTTGAGATTTTATCAATGCTCAATGCCTTATTTCATTCACTTGTAATTGTTTTAGAAAATTTCTGTCTAGAGTTAAAAAGGAAATATTACTTTTTTCTTATTGCTAATAAAATGACTTTTTAAATGATATTGCACATTTGTTCCATCTCCTTTAGAAAAGGAGGGACCTGTTTTTCTCTGGCCACATGCCTCAGAGCTTCAAGGGCCAGAAGGTGACATTACAGAGTAATTTATCTTATTATTCTTATTCTTATTTCCCAATTTACTGTCAAGTAAGTATTTAACTAGACTCTTGCACCTTAGTTGTGATAGTGTACATAAATTAATCTGCAAATTAATTTTAAATTCTGGGTAGATTATATAGTTGCAGTGCCAAATCTGTGCCCAATGAAATATGATCTTTATTCCATACACACACTAGTTCTTTATCATATTTACATGATTCTCTTTTTCATAAATGCAACCAAGTAAGCTTTTGTATATTAAATAATGTGCTGGCCATACTAAAACATGGGGGAGTTCTGTGTGAGCTGAACAAAGTGTATCAAACCATGTAGGATTTATGCTGTTTGGCATCTGCATTTATTAGATGCTCCAGACCAAAGTCTACCGCATTGATTTCTCCTGCAGCAATATCATCAGAGGTACAATTAATATCAGTCTTTTAAACTGAATTAGTTTAAACTGAATTAGTTTTTAATCAATTAAATTAAAAAAAAACATTTAAGACGACAAGGACCTAGGTGTATAAGTAGTCACCTCTGAAATGCTATAATTAGAAAAAATCAAAGGGATTGGTTGTAATAATGTTAGAGAATTTTGGCCCCATCATTGCTCCTGAGCTCTTTGAATGTAGTTATTCAGAAAGTAACTATAAAATACATATGTTTCATTCTGTTTTATCAGAATTATTGATAGTGTTAAGTCTCAATAGAGGAGAATATATGTAGCTCAGGGTTGAACAGTAGAGTCTTTGGGGTTCTCTGAGCTTGATTGTTTTTTTGCAGACGTTTCATCACCTGACTAAGTAACATCTTCAGTGCTAGAAGGGAGTGAGGTTTGCTCTCTGTTTATATACAGCAGCTTGCCCTGTCAGTGTTGGTGAGGGTGTTGTTTTTTCTCTGACAAATTAGAAACATAAATCTATCAAAAAAACAACTCACACTAACCAGGTGCTCCATTACCAAAGTAATAACCCAACCTCCCACAAGAGGAGTTATGTAAGAACATTATTCAGATGAGCACAAACACACTGCAGCAATCCAAAACAGCAGGAAAAGGAAACAGACCACTTATGCAACATCTTCCAACAAAATGGATACCCACGCAACTTTATCAAAAAGTACCTGAACACTCAACCCACTACAGCACAACCAACACAAGCTATGAAAAGGATAACACTGCCATACATCAACAACATCTCAGAAACAACCAACAGCCTATTACAACCACATGGCATCTCTGTAGGACACAAACCAACTAAAGCCCTCCAAAACATGTTAAGTAAACCAAAAGACCCAGTAGCCCAAGAAGGAAAAACAGGAGCCATCTACAACATACAGTGTAAGAACTACAACAGCCACTACGTAGGACAGACAGGCAGAAGTCTTGCAGAGTGCATCCATGAACGCCAACTAGCAGTCAGAAGACACGATGAAAACTCCTTAATCTCACAACACATGGACAGACTCAACCATAGTTTTAACTG